CTATGTCAGTAACAACTACCTAAGTTGAAGGGTGTAGAAATGCGTGGAAAATATTTTTCCCTTATTTTCCACGTAGAAGAGCTCCAACGTAGTTTATATCAGACAGGTCGTAACACGATTTTATTATTGAGATGGTGTAAATCTACAGTTGACGAGCTGTCGAGGAATTGGAAATGTGAGGAAATGTTTTGATGGATTTGTGATCGGAACTTGTTGTAGGTGGCATTCTGTCTTAAGCATAAACTAATTTTTAGTCTTTAACGCATACATAATAAACTAGATAAAAAGAGAGTGCGCGTAAGGTTCACACGCGATTGAAGTAAAGCTTATTCGCTACTGTACAAGATGACATTTAAGTTAAAATAAATACATCATATAAAAATTTTGAATGTTTATTAGTAATATGGTAACACTCGTGATGCACACATTTATTAGTGTCAACCATTATACACATTTATATAATGATAAATTATAAATTATATATTTATAATAGCATTAAAATTATGTATAATATTTAAAACGATAAAGTAATTGAAGTCATACTTCAAATATGACATGATCGGTTTGTCATTGTAATTAGCATTTAGAAGTGTACCTTCATTAGAGAAATGAAGTAATTGATGATTCATAGATTCAATAATATTCCTTCACACAGTGGATTATGTTAAACAACGCCTAAATAAATATTGATTTTGCAACTTCACTCATTATGTAAGTTTGTTTGAAGAACTTCATGTGATTAAATTAACATACATTCATTGACTGCTTGTATTTTTTTACTTTTTCGCTGGCGATTAATATCATTCTTTGAACAGCTGTAATGTCTGTTTTGCCTAAAAAATATTTTCCATTTCAATAACTTCATTGGCACTCGACTCTGCCGTAACGCACTTCAATTGCATTTGTACGGATTTACACCCTAGTCGCGCCTAAAGAAGTATTACTTAAAAAAATTGAGGTTCAGCTCAAGGCGTCCAATAATCATGTGATAGATTTTTTAGGGATTTTTGCACCTCCTCCCACTTGGTCGTGATATTCAGAATTACCCCCCTACTCTACCAAACATCATATGTGTTTTAGGTACGTAATATTTGTTGAGAAATGTTTAGACTTTTTTTTATAAAAGTCATATAAAAGATGAATAGATGTGATATCTTACTAGACCCCCCCCCCCCCCCCCACCTGATGTTTTATGATTTTTGTCAAACTCTCCCTTCCCCTAAAAGCCTCATATGATCGATAAAAAAATGTGATTTTTTTGTGAAAACGTTTAGATTTTTATTAAAAAATCCGCCTCCCCCTAAAAGCCTCATATGATTGACGAAAAATGTGCGAAAATGTTTAGATTTTTTCAAAAAATTCAGGTAAAAACTAAAAAGACATGATATTTACTAGACCTCTCCAGCCCCTCTCGTGATCTTTTGTTATTTTTTGTTTAAAATCTTTCTGTGATGAGCCTCCTATAGGTTCTGATTAGAATCACTCAAGGCCGCTAGTTGTAGGCCTATAATATTTTAGTAGGCTATTTTAGACTAGAAAATCTAATGTCATACAAAAAAGTATGATAAAAAAAATTCAACATTTTATTACGAAAAAAGGCCCGAAAGTTCTTCACTAATCATCGCTATATCTCTCAAACAAGTTTTCAAAATTGATTCAGAATTGTGGGCTTAAATGTGAAGAAAAATATTTACACTTGCCTGCTAATTATAAAGAAATTACTTGGCCGTGATTGATAAATGTAACACTAGGATTTGGATTTCTTGAATTAAAACTTGAAAACACACAATCGCTTAAAACATGTCTCTTTAGGTCGTTCAATTGTATAAACAAGTGTCAAAATGTAATCCTGATTCCTGACCGTTATTAAACCAATTATTTATTGCTTTACGGCATCATATCGTGCGTCAATAGATAAAGTTGGACTAAAAATAATGAAATTTTATTTTAATCACACACACACACACTGGTTGATGCAAATTGAAAAAAATGCATGTATTTAAAAAGGGATAATTTTTTACATTTTTTTCATATTAATAATGATTTGAGAGAACCATCAGCAGCATATTTATTGAAACTTTATTAAAAAAGATAACTTTGCAAAAAAATCAATACACTTTATTATATTAATTTAGAATTTATAATATTTATGATTAACTAAAAATTTGTTTTAAGTAAAATATGCATTAAAAGTGTACATACCATTTATAATTATAAAAAATGTTCTTACTTATTCATAGTTATTTCAAAATATCTTATCTGAAATGTGTTCAATATTTCACAAATGTTAAAATTGTTTAAAATATTAAACAAATTAAAAGTGTTAGAAGAAAGCACAAAGGTTAAATAATATAAAACTAACTACCTAATTAATGTGACATAATCATGCACTAAAATATAAATTTATTTTACAGATCCTGTTTATTTTAACATATGGAACAAATATTTGGATATTCACACCTGATCATAACATTTAATTTATTTATGGGTGAATGCGCATATAAATCTGAATAATTTATATAAATTAACTCTATAACTAATTATAATTATTGTTGATCGAATCGAAAATTGATGATGTATATGAAGTAATGGTTACAGATGGAAGCAAGGATTTAATATTATGTATGATATTTTGAAACAACGTAAATAAACAAAATCTATTTGGGGCTATATTTCTGATTTTACTAATTTTGACACGTCCTGCACATACGTAGTTATCGAAAATTGTTTATTTAATAATATCCAATCTGTAGAATAATAATGTATATTATTTCAGGCTCATTTCAAGCTTATTAATAACAAGGAACTAAAGTATAATAATTTTATGGGATATTTAGTATTTAATTGATGTATTAAAACGTTTTGAACTGTTTACTAGTTTGTACCTTGTGTGAACCGATTTTGCCAAATGAATGAAAAAAGCTGAAATCATATCATGACCCACTGCTCACATATTATTTTGCGATTTTTGATGAATATATTTTGTTGCCGATTTTGATCATTTTTACAACGTTGGTTATTATTACTTTAGAAAAATTCTTTTAAAAATTTATCATAGATAGAGAGGTATCATAAAAATTCTTGTACTAGACCTTTTGATTTAGAATATTTCATCCTAAGACATCAAAGCCCTATGACGAATGGTTCAAGAGTTATAAGCGCTTAAAGATTTAATGTTACATTTAATTACAAAATGCTCAAAACTAGACTAATTTTTTGTTTTTCACAGACTTCCCAGGCACGCACAAACTTCTAGTCATCTGGACTAGAACAACGTGAAAAAAATCGTATTTTAATATTCTCAACGGTTGCCGAATGAATCGAAAAAACCAAATGTGCTCTCAACCTGAAACTAGGCTTAGTTTCAGGTCAGAATGCAATCTCGCATTTCTCAAAAACTACCGTATGAACCAATTTAAACTTTTTGTCACAATCTTGGTAAAGTATAATAGCAATGTGTGCCAAGTTTAATCAAATATACATGATCCGCTTTTGAGAAGATACTATTGTGCACCTAAGACAAACGTGCTCTTAACCTGAAACTAGGCTAGTTTCAGGTCAGAGTGTAATCTCGCATATTTCGAAAACTACCGTATGAACCAATTTAAAATCTTTGTCATAATCTTGGTAAAGTATAATAACAATGTGTGCCAAGTTTCATTAAATTCGCATGATCCTCTTTTGAGAAGATACCATGGTGCACCTAGGCCAAACGTGTTATCAACCTGAAACTAAGCTTATCAGAAGGTAGGTTCCTTATGACCTCAGAAAAATGATATTAAAATATTTCGACCGCAGTTCAAATAGTTTTAAAATTTGTCAAAAATCGATTTTATTCAAAGTTAAAAAAAAAATATAACTTTTTTAAAAATGTTAAGTTTTGGAGCAATTTGCATTAAAGCACAATGCCATGCACAACTGTTTTTTTTTTTTTGAAAAA